TCGGCAGAAGACGAAGCTGACTGGGACGAGCAGAATGTGGAAGGAGCCTCGGAAGAAGCCGGACCTCTTCCCTACTGCTCAGTGGACGTACCGATGGACGAAGAAAACCCTCGCGAAAGCGTCAACGCCGAAACTTACTACCACTTCGCCGACAACGGTTACGTTACACCCGCTGAAGTCAACACCAACGAAGCAGAACGCATAGGGCCCAACTTCGCACCCGATCCAGAAACTGGAGACGAGGCAGTCTATCCCGAGGACACCACACTCCCCCGCTACACACAGAGCGGACTCCAAATCCTTGGTCTCGTCACCGCGGTCCACGGCGTCAACATTCCTAAGGAGCCTGCGACAGTTCAGCAGGCTCTGGGGGGGGAGCATAAGGAAAAATGGCGCGAAGCCATGGACAAGGAGCTGAAGGCATTAGAGGAACGCAACACCTGGAAAGTCGTTCCCATCGGCGTAGCGCGAAACAAGACCATTCTTACCGGGAAATGGGTCTTCCGTGTGAAGACGAAGGCCGACGGCACCATCGACAAGTTCAAAGCGCGTTGGGTCGTTCGCGGCTTCGACCAGGAACATGGACGAGACTTCACCGAAACCTTCGCTCCGGTCAGCCGTCACACTTCACTTCGAATTCTTCTCGCCATCGCCGCTATGAAGAAGAAGAAACTACGCCAAATCGACGTCGCGAACGCATTTCTCTACGCACCGGTCGATGCAGAGATTTTCGTGGAACTACCGCACGGCTCCAACACAAATTCCACGCACGTCTGCCAGCTACTAAAATCGCTCTACGGGATCAAACAGGCGCCGCGACTGTGGCAGCAGTACCTGCATACTCGCCTCATCCGCATCGGCTTCAAACAACTCCCGCACGATCAGGGCATGTACCGCCTCACGAAGAACAGCGACTACATCTTGCTAATTGTCTACGTGGACGATCTTCTCTACATCGTCTCTACCGACGGCATCACCACCTGGTTCGAAGGGGAGCTGCAGAAGGACCTCACCCTCACTGTCTCATCTACCGTCACACAGTATCTCGGACTTAACATTCGAGAAGATAACGACGCGATCTACCTCAGCGCCGAAAAGTACGCCGACACCATCGCCAAACGATTCGGAATTACGCCAGCCGCGATCTCAACACCATACCGCTACACGACAGGAGCCGATAAGGAATCTGCCCCACTCAAGCCCGCCGGCATACGCGACTATCAGAGGAAGCTAGGTTGCCTCCTCTTCGCAGCCGTCACTTGCCGACCCGACCTATCCTACTCCGCAAGCCAGCTCGCCACTCATCTCAAGAAGCCTGAAGCAGAACACCTGGCGGAACTTGACCGCGCTCTGCACTACTTTATCAGCACCGCGATGATCGGCCTAACTTATCACAAGAACGCAGCTACACCAACCAAGCTAATCGGCTACGTCGATGCCGATCACGCCGGCGACACTGACAACAGGCGCTCACGCACCGGCTATGTCTACCGCCTCGAGCCTATCGGTCCTATCTCCTGGCAGTCGAGCAAGCAGGAGTTAATTGCACTATCTTCAGCCGAAGCAGAATATATCGCACTCTGCTCAGCCACCAAGGAGGGACTTTACCTTCGCGAGCTGCTGGAAGAAGCGAAGTTAGCCGAGTTACCCAACTTCACCGTGTTCTGCGACAACCAGTCAGCAATTCGTATCGCCAACAAGAACGGCTTCGCGAACAGGACGAAACACATCGCCCTGCGTTACTTCTTCGTAAAGGACGAGATCGAGAAAGGGAGACTCGAGCTATCGTACTGTCCCACGTCTGAGATGGCAGCCGACTACTTGACCAAGAAGCTTGGAAAACAAAAGTTCGAGTACTGCATGCTGCTGACTGGACAAGGCCACGTCATCAGCAGCGACACTCCAGAAGCGAAGGGGAGTGTTGGAAACAATAAAACTTAAACGCTTCGGACTGTCGTGTCGAAACACCGCACCAGAAGCGAGGCAAACTACACCGAAACACCCGCGAGTCAACCCTCGGAGGTTGAAAGAGGTTGCTGGAGGTTACGCGAAAGTCAAAGGTCAGCAACCTTTTGACCGACAAGTACAGCGCGACAGTTAAGGACATACAACTGACTCGTTACAGAGCAGTTGCCCGAGTCGTACTGTATCGAACCGCAACAGCAACAGTAAAAGTAGTTATAACTGTATCCTTTGATATTCCTTGCACTACTATATATTCTTGTACTTTCCTGTTATAATCAATCTATCTTGCCCTCACACACTAGCGCAAGGTGATTCACAAGTTTTATTAAAGCTTCCGCTGTTACAATACTATCCTACCCAGAGTTACTCCTGAAAAGATCCCAAGGGGCTATTTCAGCCCAACACCATCAACGATCACAACCCCAATTGCATACACGAGGCACTCAACACCAAACCCCAAAACACAAACGACAGCACACAAACTTGCACAAAAACGTTGGACATTTAACAATTGTGAATGCTTCAAGGCTGATGCTAAATGCATCGATGTCGCAACAGAGGTTGATATGGTGCGGAAGGGGCGAGCAAAGCTGCCCCACCGATGATCACAACCCCAGTTGCATACACGAGGCACTCAACACCAAACCCCGAAACAGACACAAACAACACCAACATGTATGGACAGACACATACAGGCTCGCTCACACACCTACACACACACACACACAAACAAACAAAAAGGCATACTACCGCTATTGAACATGCAATGCAAGCGTAACGAATGAGTTCAGCCATGTATAAATCACCGTTAACCTGTCCCACATTCCCCTCCCTCCCTCCCTTGTCTCCCATCCCCCCCCTCCCTTCCAATATCCCCTATTCCTCCCGTATATTTTTACCCTCTCTCAACCCCTCCCCTTTCTCCACAAGAAAAACCAAATAGTGCAGCTTAAACTCCCTGCACAAGAAAGCACAAACAGCGCATGCAACTCACATTCCCTGGACAAGAAAGCAAAAACAGATAATGCAGCTGACACTCCCTGCACAAACAAAAACAAAAGAGAATACAACTTGCATGAACTGCACAGCACATGAAACAAATCATAGGAATGCAGCCCAGCCGAGCACAAGAAACGAGGTAAGAGTTATAACAATACGCTGATGAAGAACGAAGTACAAAAAATACAGATGAGGGACGAAAACAATCAAATTTGACATCTCACGAAGGTGATTCGGTAAATGATATCGTGTCGTCACACATACCATGCCAGCATTCACGCAGTACCTCGCAGCCACCCTCGCCTTCACCCTGACACTCATCCTCGCACCTCACTCTCGCACTCACTTTCCAACTCACTCACGCACACACTATCGCTCCCAACTTTTGCTAGATACGCTCACAGAAACACACATTCCCTGCACTTCACACTCACTCAAAAAAACGCACATGCACTAGCACGCACAATCGCACGCACCCTTGCACACACCCTCGCACTCACCTTCAAACTCATTTTTCGCACGTACCCTCGCTCTCACCCTCGCACTTACCATTGCACTCACACCCGCACCCTCGCACTCACCCTTGCACTCACTCTTGCATACACACTTGCACTCGCACTCATACTCACACTCACTCTCACTCTAAGACTTGCTCTTGCACTGACCCTTGCACTCACCTTCGCATTCACTCTCGCACTCACGCTCGCACTTCCTCTCGCATTCACCCTCGTACACACACTCGCATGCACCCTCAAGTGCATGCGTGCACTCACTCGCACTCACACCCGCACTCATTCTCTCACACTCTCTCGCACTCACGCTCTCAACCACTCACGAACACACAAGTACTTTTAACCGTTCTGAGAGACACTCACAGAAACACACACATAAACCCTCACACTCACCTTCGGACTCGCACTCGCGCTTACCCTTGCACTCACTCGAACACGCACACGCACACACAACCGCACGCACACTCGAACTCAACTCGCACACACACCCACACTCGCACCTACAGCCACGCCCACAATCAAGCTCGCACTCCTTCTCGCAGTCCTACTCGCCCTCTATCTCCCACTTTCTCTTGCACATACTCGTACTCACCCTCGTACTCACTCTTACACTTACACCGTGATCACCCTTGCACTCAACATTGCAGCCACCAACTCACTCACTCAGCCTCACACTCTCGCACTCACTCTTCAGTCACACAAATATACTCTCAACTCTTCTTTGACACTCACAAAAACACACACACCCTCGCATATGTCCTCGCACTCACCCTCACACACACTCGAACGCACCCTCGTGTTCCTTTGCACTCAACCTTGCACACACACACACACACACACACACACACACTCACGCGCACACTCACCCTCAAACTCGCCCTCGCACTCACACTTGCACTCACTCTAAAACTTGCTTTCTCACTCACCTTCTCACTACTCTCGCACTCACTCATGCGCTTGCTCTCTAATTCAACCTCGCACTCGCCCTTCCGCCCACAACTGCACTCACCCTCGAGTGCATGCGCGCATCTCACTCTCGCATTCACACCCACACAAGCACCTAGATTCACACCCGCACTCACCCTCTCGCACACTCTCGACCCACTCTTGCAACCACTCACACACACTCATGCCCTAAGCACAAGCGCACCAGTGCAGAGCCCTAATCGCAAGCGACATAAGCGCAAGCGGATTAGGCGCAAGCGTCTATGGCACCCACGCCAATGGCGCAAGCGCGCACACACTCTCTCTCCCGCCTCTCTCTCCCACACGTGCTTCGTGCTCCCTCCAGCTCTTCCTTCTCTCTCAACCTAAGCTCTCTCACGCACATGCCCTGCGTGCTCGCTCTTGTGCCAATGCTCTCCCTCGCGCTCCCTCTCTCCCCCTCTTCAAATGGTAGTGCAACGCAAGACGAGGCAAGTCTAAACGCAGAAACTACAAACAAGGTAGGAAACAATGGAATCTCAGAGGAGTGGGAGGAATAAACGCACCTGCTAATGACGGTGCCTCGAAGACCAACCCGCGCTAGCGCACCAGCTCTCGTTCGCGCACCATCCTTATCCATGCTCTCAAACCTCCCCACGGCGGGACGGGAGGGAGTGGCGCGGCGGGGATGAGGGCAAGGAGCGGCGGAATGGAAGGGAGAGACGGCGGCAGGATGGGAGGGAGTGGCGACGGCGGGATGAGAGAGAGTGGCGAAGCAGGATGGGAGGGAGAGACGGCGGCGGGATGAGAGGGAGAGGTGGTGGCGGGATGGGAGGGAGTGGCGACGGCGGGATGGGAGGGAGAGACGGCGGCGGGATGGGAGGGAGAGACGGCGGCGGGATGGGAGGGAGAGACGGTGGCGGGATGGGAGGGAGAGACGGCGGCGGGAGGGTAAGGAGTGGCGACGGCGGGGTAGGTGAGAGAGGCAAAGGCGGGGTGGGAGGGGACGACGGCGGGATGGGAGGGAGCGGAGGCGACGGGATGGGAAGGAGCGGAGGCGAAAGGATGGGAGGGAGCGGAGGCGACGGGATGGGAGGGAGCGGAGGCGACGGGATGGGAGGGAGCGGAGGCGACGGGATGGGAAGGAGCGGAGGCGACGGGATGGGGAGGGAGGCGACGATGGGGACGGCGAGGCGACGGCGGAGGGAGAGGCGACGGCGGAGGGAGAGGCGACGGCGGAGGGAGAGGCGACGGCGGAGGGAGAGGCGACGGCGGAGGGAGAGGCGACGGCGGGGTGGGAGGGAGCGGCGACGGCGGGAGGAGGGAGCGGCGACGGCGGGTAGGAAGGAGAGGCGAGGGCGGGTGGGAGGCGAGGGTGGGTGGGAGGGAGAGAGGACGGCGCGGTGGGAAAGAAAGGATGGTGGGGTGGAGGTGGATGCTATGACGAGGTGGGTGGGTGGGAGGGAGAGGCAACAGGCGGGTGGGATTGTTATGTGAAGACACACGCACATTCACGTGACACGCTGACTGGGCTGAAAACAGCTCATTAAAAAAGTGCAATGGTACAATACAAAGTATCATCTTTGTTAACTACATAAAAAAAACGATCAATGTGTCTCAATGTTTAAAAACCATAAACATCTAGATTGAAACGAATACATTGCACCATCAAGAAGCACTTGCAGTATTCTTTAATACGGTAGACCTAAATTTGTCGCTAAATAAAAAAACAAAACTGCACTTTCTCTTTTTTTTTTTTTTTTGTCAATTAGGAATGTAACATCTACGCAACCCGTCCGACGTTAACGTTGAGTCTTGTCAAGATACAGCATGGCAAAATCCTGTGAGCTAGTTAAACAATTGTTTTATAGTTGCTCCTGCCTGTGCGTAGACTTTATATAAATGTGTGCTTGTACCTGTCGAAATCAATCTAATGCATTCGCGTTTTTTCAAGCTTGAATTCTACTACTTCGTATTGACGAGAGTAGAAACGATCACGGTACCGCCGAAACTCTGCTTGACAAGTTTAATTGTTCTACAAGCATAAGCGAGGCATAACTACTCACTTGCGTTCCTATTACAACCTTGCCTGGGAGGTGACAAGCTGTCACACTTGAAGGGCTGCAAGTGATGTAAGTGTTGTCAAGTTTGTGTTTGTAGTTCCAGTTTAGTAGCTTCCGCATAACGTTATAGCAGTCAACACTTCCCCCCTCCCTCCTCCCTGCTTCCCCCCCCCTCCCTCCTCCCTGCTTCCCCCCTCCCTCCTCCCTGCTTCCTCCCTCCCTCCTCCCTGCTTTCCCCCCCTCCCTCCTCCCTGCTTCCCCCCTCCCTCCTCCCTGCTTCCCCCCTCCCTCCTCCCTGCTTCCACCCTCCCTCCTCCCTGCTTCCCCCCTCCCTCCTTCCTGCCTCCCCCCTCCCTCCTCCCTGCTTCCCCCCTCCCTCCTCCCTGCTTCTTTCATCCCTCCTCCCTGCTTCCCCCCTCCCTCCTCCCTGCTTCTCCCCTCCCTCCTCCCTGCTTCCCCCCTCCCTCCTTCCTGCTTCCCCTCTCCCTCCTCCTTGCTTCCCCCCTCCCTCCTCCCTGCTTCCCCCTTCACTCCTCCCTACTTCCCCCCTCCCTCCTCCCTGCTTCCCCCCTCCCTCCTCCCTGCTTCCCCCCTCCCTCCTCCTTGCTTCCCCCCTCCCTCCTTCTGCTTTCCCCCTCCCTCCTCCCCGCTTCCCCCTCCCTCCTCCCCGGTTCCCCCCTCCCTCCTCCCTGCTTCCCCCTTCACTCTTCCCTGCTTCCCCCCTCCCTCCTCCCTGCTTCCCCCCTCCCTCCTCCCTGCTTCCCCCCTCCCTCCTCCCTGCTCCCCCCCTCCCTCCGCCCTGCTTGCCCCCACCCTCCGCCATGCTTGCCCTCTCCTTCCGCCCTGCTTCCCCTCCCTGTGCCCTGCTTTCCCCCTCCCTCCGCCCTGCTTCCCCCCTCCATCTGTTCTGCTTCCCCCCTCCCTCCGCCCTGCTTGCCCCCTCCCTCCTTCCTGCTCCCCCCCTCCCTCCTCCCTGTCAACGGGAGTTGTGTGTTGGCCCCGTCCTCGCTTGGGCGGAGACGACTTCGTGGCCGGGTGTAGGGGTGCAGCCGACCTGCAGTAGTGGGCGAGCTGGTCGACGAGGAAGTCGACCTGCACGGGTGCCACTGCATGGGCGCCGACTTCAGGATGGCGCCGACTTCAGGGAGGTCGACCTGGGAAGTCGACCTGTGGAGGGCGTCGACTTGGTGACGCCAACTTGGGGCAGCCGACTTGGGTGGTCAGCTGACAGGACCGCTGGTCGACCTAGTTGTTGGTCGACCAGGCCTGCTGGTCGACTTGGTGGTTGGTCGACCAGGCGTGATGTCGACCTGGTGGTCGACCGAACATGGTGGTCGACGAAGGAGGGGCCGACGTCGACCTCGACAGAGGGATTCAGGACGCCGAGCAGCTGGGCGTCGAGTAGCAGGGCGTCAGCTTGATGACGCCGACTTCGTGTAGCCAACGATGGGCTCGGCTGACAACCCTGCTAGTCGACGAGGAGCTGGTCGACCAGGAGTGACGTCGACCTGGAGCTGGTCGACCAGGGGTAGTGGTCGACCTGGTGAGGTCGACTGGAGGTGGCCGTCGACTTGGGAGGTCGACGGGCACATACAGGAGCAGCTGGTCGACATGGTTGCCAGGTTGACCAGGTTTCCTGGGTGATGAGGTGCTGGGAAGGCACGCGACGGTCGCCCACGCGATGTTGGCAAGGACAGCCTTGGTGGTGGTATCCCGAGGTCGACGTGGCTGATCAGAAGCAGTCGTCAGCACGAAGTGGACTTGGTGTGTGTGTTGTGCAGGTGACGTGACACTGCACGCCAATCATCTGCGAGCACCTGCGAAGTAGGTGCGCTGCTGTCTTGCGGGAGCAACTCGGCACGCCGTCAACCTACAACGTTGGCACACCGTCAACTTGCAGCATTGGCAAGCCGCGACTCTGCACTGCTAGAGCGCGGTCGACCAAGTCGTGCTGGCACGCGGTCGACCATGCTGCGCTGGCAGTAGACTTGCTTGCATGCTAGCTCTGATGTAGTCTTGCCAACTTCATTGTACCATTGTTGTCAACTTAGTGAAACTCTTGCCAATTCTCCCTGTGAACTAGCAAGTAGTGTGAGCACTTGGAAACGGCTAAGGAACGAACAGACGCAGAGATCACACGAGCACCCGTGCCTAGCCCGTAGCCTAGCTCCCGTTGTAGTAGTTATCTCCGCACTCCCTGCCTCCCCCTCCCTATGCCCTGCTTCCCCCCTCCCTCCGCCCTGCTTCCCCCCTCCCTCCACCCTGCTTCCCCCTCCCTATGCCCTGCTTACCCTCTCCCTCCGCCCTGCTTCCCCCCTCCCTCCGTCCTGCTTGCCCCCACCCTCCACCCTGCTTGCCCCCACCCTCCACCCTGCTTGCCCCCTCCCTCCGCCCTGCTTGCCCCCACCCTCCGCCATGCTTTTCCCCTCCTTCCGCCCTGCTTGCCCCCACCCTCCGCCCTGCTTGCCCCCTCCCTAAGAGAGGTGAGCGTCACACACCGGGTGAGCAAAGGCTTTCCCCATATGCCCCTCCCCGTATCACTATCTTATCGACTCTCCTGTCCCTCCCCCATGTGCCTCTCTTGGCCCTCCCATGCACCCCTCCTCTCTCGTGCACACCCTTTGCCACTCCACTCACTTCTGCTCCTGCCCCTTCCCTCCCACCTGCCAAGAGCGCGACCAGGAAGCCTTGCAGAGGGACTACAGCAATGTGCAAGGCGTGAGTCTGTTGTGCTTCCTAGTGGACCATCTCTTCCCTCCATCCTTACCTCTCGCGCTCATGGGTCTAGCATCTTACGCCAGCTGCGCAATCATCAAACGCCTACTTCAAGTAACTAGAGAGTAGCGTGCTAGTATGTTTGCGTATATCCAAATCGCTAGGCCCGTCGCCTGCGCGTCCGTGTTGCAGACGCGGTGCCCATGACGCCATCGCCACGTCACCTGTGCTGTTGGCAGCAAAGCAAGCCACGTCGTGGCATGGTGGTGACAAGCAGCATCCCATGTCTCATTCGCATGCTCATCATCTCTGAGGTGACTTTAGAAAGCACTCAGAAGTCCCCCCCCACACACCACCCGCCTTCCCCCCTCATAGCCACCTCCATATCCCCCCACACACCATCCGCCTTCCCCCCTCATAGCCACCTCTACATCCCCCCACACACCACCCACCTTCCCCCCTCATAGCCACCTCCATATCCCCCCACACACCACCCGCCTTCCCCCCTCATAGCCACCTCCATACCCCTTCACACACCTCCCGCCTCCCCCCCTCATAGCCACCTCCATATCCCCCCACACACCATCCGCCTTCCCCCCTCATAGCCACCTCTACATCCCCCTACACACCACCCACCTTCCCCCCTCATAGCCGCCTCCATATCCCCCCACACACCACCTGCCTTCCCCCCTCATAGCCACCTCCATATCCCCCCATACACCACCCACCTTCCCCCCTCATAGCCACCTCCATATCCCCTCACACACCACCCGCCTTCCCCCCTCATAGCCACCTCCATATCCCCCCACACACCACCCGCCTTCCCCCCTCATAGCCACCCGCTTCATCCGCCTCTTCCACCTCCACAACCACCACCTCCTCCTCCACGTCTCAATTCAATCAGTCTAGCGAACCAGGTAACAATCGGTTTGGTGTGGTGTGGTGATGCGTGGTGTATTGAGGTGTCGTAGTGCGAAGAAATGCTCAGTCAGAGAGTGGTGAAGGGCATCGCAAACACCAGGTACCATAACGGTGGGTGATGTTGTGATGGTGTGATGCTGTGATGGTTTGATGGTTTTTTTTTTTTTTTTTTTTTTTTTTTTTTTTTTTTTTTTAAGTTGAATATGTCCACTAACACCGATGATACAAGTGTACGCAAACATATGCCAGTCGTAACTGAGCGTGAAAGGCTATTCCTCCAAGAAAGAACAACCTCAGGAGAAAACCTTCTAAGGCGGATGCAGAGCCCCTCTCGCAAGATTCCAAAGCGCGCCAAAATTCCTTGTCCACTTCCAACCTTTCACTGCCGTGCACCTGACGTGTCCAAGGAGCTGGTCCTCCCGCTCTGCCAGCGCATAGGCACTCCCTTGTCTTTTCGAACCACTCACCTTCCCCAGCTTCCTTCCCATAGCACGGGTGTACACCTTCACATGCAGCCGAAATGCTGCCTCAATGCGCCTGAGAACGCGCCGAGCCCTGAATTTCCGCTCCCGAAACACGCAGTCACATCGTTCAGCCCAAATTTGGTGCACCGCAATGGCAGCCAGCGACGCCTCCGGGAAAGCTGAGGTGGATGCTGCCTTTCCGAACAGCAGATCCCCTAAATCAGCCACCTGCCTCCCCGGGTTGAGCATGCGCATGGCGCGTTTGACCGCACCCACCACCAGTTGAATCCTCGGGCAGGTGAAAAGGCAATGCTCAAGGGACTCAAACTCCCCACAGTGGGGGCAAACCGGCTTGCCACTTAGGAAAGAAAGCCGCTCTCCCACCTGCAGATTGAGGCTGTGAATCCTTAGGAGCACG